TATAGATATATAGATACATATATAGATATAGATATAGATATAGATAGATAGATAGATAGATAGATAGATAGATAGATAGATAGATGATAGATAGATAGATAGATAGATAAATAGATAGATAGATAGATAGATAGATAGATGATAGATAGATAGATAGATAGATAGATAGATAGATAGATAGATTCTTACTTCTTTGTAGGGTTTATGTGTGTTTTTCTTCTAGCCAGGTTTTCCCTACGTAACCAAGGTTTTTTGTAGCTCCAGCTCAGTAGAATCACATCTACTCGGTTCTGGGCTTTTTTCCTTTCTAACAGCTAGCAAGCTCTAACTGCTAGGTGGGAGACCTAAATAGATCCATTTCTAGCTCGTTTGCTTTCATCAGTAGGCCACACCCATATCTTATGTATCCTCCCTGTAAAGGTACAGTATCAATTTTCTTACTTCTTCGTAGGGTTTATGTGTGTTTTTCTTCTAGCCAGGTTTTCCCTACGGGAAAAAAGCCCAGAACCGAGTAGATGTGATTCTACTGAGCTGGAGCTACAAAAAACCTTGGTTACGTAGGGAAAACCTGGCTAGAAGAAAAACATATATATGTTTTTCTTCTAGCCAGGTTTTCCCTACATAACCAAGGTTTTGTAGCTCCAATATATATAAATTGTCCTAAAGATGCAAGTTCCAGGTATAGTTATAGAAGAGGCGATAGACATCACGATCTCCGGAACGTTTAAAAGTTCAAAAAATTTTATTTTAAAACTTGTGCTAAGCTTTTTCGTAGGGGCCGATGAAAGCTTAGCACAAGTTTTAAAATAAAAATTTTTAAACTTTTAAACGTTCCGGAGATCGTGATGTCTATTGCCTCTTCTAGATAGATAGATAGATAGATAGATAGATAGATAGATAGATAGATAGATAGATAGATAGATAGATGTCTTCTCAAGTTTTCACGGGTGTGTGTATGTAAAAAGTTAAAATCTCGGGTGTTTTCCCACATCATTAAAAATCTGTTAGTTAAAATGCTTAAAATCCTATCTAAAATCCCAGCTTAAGATCCTCCAAAATCCCAACTGGACCATGGACCAGAAGCCAGACCACAGCTGCATCATTAGCCACTTTAGACCCCTCCAATCCATACATGAAGCAGACTGACACCCATCATGAAGAGGTGGCACGGCCATGAACACGAAGCCAAACAACAGCAACACACTCACCAGCTCAAATCCCCCTGCTACTCAGACTAACCCGAGCACAACCAAGCCCCCACCTAAACAGAACACACACCCATCCAATCAGAGCACAGCCAACCCCCCATCCAATCAGAGCACAGCCAAACCCCCAACTAATCAGAACACACCTCCACCCAATCAGAACACAGCCAAGCTCCCACCCAATCCATTCACACCCCCACTGACAGTTAAAAGGAAGAAACAGCTGCAATCACACACATTGCTCCTAGAAGCACGAAGCCGAAAACACCAGCCTGAAGATGACGAATGAGACTTCGTCGAAACATTGCCAAGACATCTCCAATTTTACGCGGGAGAAAACCTGAATAACCAAAGACCTACGTGTGTGTGTGTGTGTGTGTGTGTGTGTGTGTGTGTGTGTGTGTAGTGTTTACTGAGACACCTGGTCTACCCCAACATGTGGGAGGGGGCATTCTGCTCCCTTTCGCCTTTCAGCTTCAATCCAGGAGCCCTCAAGCAGTCGCATTCACAACAAACCATTTTATACCAAATTTACATTTTGCTGATAAAGAAATAAAGGGAGACTAATATAGATCTATTTCAAGCTGTTTAGCTTTCATCAGCTAGCCATACCCTTACTTGGATTTGAACTTGGGCTTCCTGCATGTTAGATAGTTGAATTAACCTTCTGAGCCACAAGTTCTCCTCCCTTCATCAGCTTGAGCTATGGGAAAGATTAAGTGTTTACCGAGACACCTGGTCTATTCCAACATGTGGGAGGGGGCATTCTATATATGTAAGTATGTATGTATGTATGTATATATGTATGTATGTATGTATGTATGTATGTATGTATGTATTTGTTATTTTTCTTTTTCCTGCTCCTGTGGACTTTATAAAATGATGCTATCGTGCTATAAAATGGATTTGTTTCAATTGTGCAATGTCCTGAAATCAGAACTCTGAAAGGCAAGGAATATTTTTTAGGAAGAAAAATACACAGCTACCTGAAATTGCTCTCAAATAGGAACTGGGAATAAATTTATTTGGGTCACCTTATTGTAAGGCTCATAAAATTACCACATTTCCAGACCAATAGGTACCCCAAAGTTCAATACTCTCCAAAACTTCTCTGAACTTTTCATGTAACATGTTGTGGTTCTCAAAGATATGAAATGGTCGTTACTAGAGAAAGGCGCATACAAACAATCACATTTGCATGAAAATAACACAGAATAATAATGTGATACATTAGGAGAAAAAAATACATAATTGCAAATATAACGCATGTGAGACAAAAGTGTGCCTTGGAAACAGGAGCACCAGGATAGGCAGACATTTTTTTTGTTTCGCTGTTTTATGATTATTTTTTATTTTCAAATGAATGCAGGCTTATAACTAGAAAAATGAAAAGCTGACAAAAATTGAGATTCAGCCCTATCTCAAAATGACTACTGTTATAAGCTTTGTGCTAATATTCCCCAGATCAGTTTTCTTCCTTGCTCCTGTTTATTGGCTGTTTCAATTCCTAGTGTGATCAATCAAAATATGTTGTGCAGCTCTTCCATTTTTGCTTCCTTAACATTTATTTTATGGAAAGAAAACAGATGGAAGAAGCAGTGGGATGCGAAAAAATTAGAAATGGGAGATAAGCCCTCTACGAGCCCATGTTTGAAGAAAGACAAATGTGCAATAAAACATCATCTGCTATTGCTGCATCTCTCTTTTGTAGCATAGATTTCCTTATCATTTTGCCATAAATTTTCTCATTATTTTGCACCATCATGCAGACACAAAGAATTTAAGAGTGCAATACCTTTCCTAAAGCTTAATTGGCATTTTAGTGCCTTCAAGCTATTATCCCACTTTTGATTCCATCCATGGCAAGGGTGCCTGAAATCAGGGGTTCCTATGTGAGGAGGACAGTCAGAAAAGTCAAGATGGCTGTTGTGATCTTATGACTTATGACTATAGTAATGGTTTATATTTCTGGATGTATACTTTTAGGAGATTTAACCAGGGAGAACACAAGCACTCTTGACAAGCGGCAATGTTATGGATTTCAACCCCAAATCTAGAGGTGTGGTGGCTTAATGACACTGGAAATAGTCTCTGTGTCAACTTCAAACCAGCGGTGAAATCCGCCTGGTTGTATCCGGCTTGCTGAACTGGTAGCGCTGGCGCCGGGAGGCTCCACCCACCCACCGGGATGTCATTACGTCCCGTATTTTTACCTTCTGTGCATGCGCAGAAGAGACACACGCACTTCCGATCCTGAACTGGTAGCGAAGGTAAGTGGATTTCAACGCTGCTTCAAACCGAACCTGTCAGAAGCCATTTTCTTGTTTCTCAGTTGCCACACAGTTTGGGAGGGGGAAAGAGGTTGGAATGCATTGCTAGACACACCACCAATCTATCTCGTGGTAACCAAGGTCATCTCCACAGGTGTTGGATGAAGAAGGAGGGGAGTACCTAAGGAGCCCACCAATTAACCTAATTAGACAATGTGACCAGTGACACATTGGGGAGGAGATCATTTAATTATTGTGAAACCCGGGGGGATATTTAGAGTTGGTTTTACAGTTAAATGTGCCATTAGGATGTACCCAACAAAAGAAGTCCTTTGAGGAAGATTCCAGTCTCAGAGTTCTGATTTGCTTGGGCTCGTTAGTCAGAACCTTGACACTCTGCTCCAGTGGTTTGAGTCCTAGCACTGCATGGTGGGGTGAGCTCCCATCACTCACCTCAGTTTCTGCTCATCTAGCAGTTCGAAAGCATGTTCTATGTGAGAAGATAAATAGGTACCACTTTGGTGGGGAGATGAGCCAGCGCTTCTTGCAGCGGTTAGGATCATGCTGGCTCTGAACCTTATCGGTTGGGGCGCCCATTTGCAAAGTCGCTTCAGTGGAGGGAAAAGGGCCTTGCAGGAAAAGCCACTCATATTTCTTTCTGGTGTGAATATAGGCTCGACCTCTTGTGAAACACGCAAGCGGGTACCTAACAGAGCTGGTAAACAGGCAGCCAAACTACTACTTCTGACAGTCTTCTGACTAATGTAACAATGCCATATGCTAAATAAAATTTAAAAAAAAAAAACCCAAATACGGCATAATAGAACAAGTATAAATTATGTGACCTATTGTTTAATCTCCAGAAATGGATTTTCTAACAGTCTTTCTGGGCTATAGAACATATGTTTGAAGGTTTTAAAACAAAGATTAATTGCACATGCTTTAAGCAACCTTTCACTGGGATATAAAAAGAGATAATCATAACTGTTATTCAAAAATCTACATAAATAATAAATAGTTATCTCAACTATTCCTTGCAATTCTGATAGAAATTATTGGTTTAGTTCATTCTCTAAGGGCTCCAGAAAGCTTCCTAACCCAATGTCTATTTTTAAAATCTCTTCTATTAGGAGAACATTTACTGTAGACAGGAAGAAGATTTTCATCTTAAGAACTGTTATTGCCTCTTCTTTAAATTCTTGGTCAACAGATTAAATATAGTAAAGTGGTTAAAGTATCAGAGGTATATAAATGAGGTATACATTGAAGTCTCCATTTGATCATAGGAATCATTTGATAAATTAGAGCCAAGTGCTCTTTTTCTGACTTTTTTTCTTTTTGGGAAAATAAAATCAGTTCATTAGAGAAAAAGTTTATAACATTTATAACACTGGGAACGAAGAAAAATAAAGAAAGAAACAATTAAATGCAGCTTTACAAAACCACACCACAGGTTGCAAGTTATTACTTGCCATTCAAAAATCAGAAAGAAAAAAAAATGCACCAGGGAAAATCCAGAACTAACCTTATATAGCAAAGGCTTATGTCCAAGTTTCAAAAGAGCAATTTTGCTGGACACGTTAGTAAACTGTTTAATCCTGAGCAAATCTCCTGGACTTCCATATTGTACATCAAAGACTTCAGCCTAGAAAAAACAGAAAGACGGATTATTGATTAGCATATTATTTTCCTATATATTAGGAATGAAGTGGCAGATGGTTTCCAGACATCTGCTTTATTCACATTACTGGTATGATAATCACCTGTTTGTCTTTACATTTGATTAAACCCATCTCTGTTATTTTGTCATTTATATGTATTCACAATGTTATTCCCATGGACATCATTTGCATGAGCACATTAAACAGCTTATGTATACCCATGACAAGTAGGATGCACAGTCAGCTGCAGTAATACCACCATATTGTTATCATTGCATCGTTAACGATCTGCAGGTTTATTTCTGTAAATGGAAATGTTCTTTCAATTCATAGCTCATTGATGAGACCCTAGAAGGGTGTCACAGAACAGCATGTAAATTTCCCATTTCCTCTCTCTAAATTCCTCTGAATCCCACCCATATAGTGTTAACAGTTAGAGGCTCTCCCCATTTATTAAGCATGTTATGTAGTCATAAGTACACAGCCTTCATTTAGCCTGAGAAACATGGTCATATATCATACATAAGAATAGCACTTAAAGTCCATCAGAGAGAGGTGATAGTTTACCACAGTCTATAGGACAATGTGGTAGGTGTTTCGCTAGTGGATAGAGACAATGTGTTGAACTTTAACAGGAATAGCAATAACAATTGGACTTAGACTTATATTATTTTTATTTTATTTATTTTTCTTATACTTATATGCCGCCCTTCTTCCAAAGGACTCGGGGTGGCTCACAGAAATTAAAACGATGAAAACAATAAAAATAGCTACTAAAATAATCAATTAAAATCTTCCAATTAAAAATCACCCATCAGATCAGCAAATTTGTTGAAAAAGCCATGTCTTCAGGTCACGGCGGAAAGAGCGGAGGTCGGGGGCCGTCCGGAGCCCCGTGGGTAACCCATTCCAGAGGGTTGATGCGCCCACAGAGAACACACTCATCCTGGGCACCACCAGCCGACATTGTCTGGCCGGTGGCACTCGGAGGAGGGCAGTCCTATGTGAGCGCACAGGGTGTTGGGAGGCAGGCAGAAGGTGGTCCTGCAGGTACCCCGGGCCCATGCCATGTATATACCACTTCATAGTGCTTTACAGCCCTCTCTAAATGGTTTACAGAGTCAGCATATTGACCACAACAATCTGGGTCTTCATTTGACCAACCTTGAAAGGATTGCAGATTAAGTGAGAATCGAACTGCTGGCAGTTGCAGAATTAGCCTGCAATACAACATTCCAACCACTGCATCACCATGGCTCTATTTATGACAAGAATGCCTCCTACCTCCTATCCCGAGGGTTTTTTTTACCCACTTGCTATCACACAGGATTTTTGTACTTGATATATAACTGTGTTTCAAAGCCTAGACGGGGGTTGTGCAAATTATTTTAATACAATGTTTTAAAAATATTTGCTTAATATGTTTCCTGTGAATAGGGTGTTATTTCTCTTAATTATGTTTGCATTCACACTATGTTAATACACTTTACTTAGACATACATACATGCATACCAACTTCCAGATCACACTATTCATTTTCAGGGTAAACAATCCAAGAAAGCAGACAGAAGAAATAGTAAACTAAAGAATTGAACAGTGTGATAAGAAAGGGCAAATGAAATATGGCTAATTGTAGCTGGTTCCTTTAAAAAGAATATTATTGTGCCTTCTAGTCAGTGAAGTTTTCTTGGCAAGATTTCAGAAATGGTTTGCCATTGCCTGCTTCCTAGGACTGAGAGAAAGTGACTGGCCCAAGATCACCTAGTTGGTTTTGTGCTTAAGGCAGAACTAGAGTTGCCAGTCTCCCAGTTTCTAGACTGATGCCTTCATTACTACGCCAAATTGGCTCTCAAGTGTAGTATACATTAACATTATTCCAATATCAGCCTCATTATACAGTACTAAATTGTAGGGTAGTGAGGTGGCTCAACAGTTAAGATGCTGGGCTTGTTGGTTAGAAAGGTGGCAGCCCAGGTTCAAGTCCTGAGAGCCACACGACGGCGTGAGCTCCCATCCTTGCCCCAGTTCCTGCCAATCTAGCAGTTCAAAAGCATGCAAATGTGAAAGTCCGTAGAGATTCTCAGTCATCCAGGTAATGGTTGTCCCAAATGTGCTTTTTCAGGAGGCAACTAAACTTCCTTGTTTTCTCTTTAAGGATGTTTCGCTTCTCATTCAAGAAGCGTCTTCAGCTCTGACAGGATAGTGGGAAATGGAAGGATATATATTCTTTGCAGACAGCTGGTTATTTGAATCCTTTTAGAGGGCCGTTAAAACACTTGAAGGTTTATCTGTGTCCTCAGGATCACCTGAGCAATGCTCCTGGTTCCTGTAGTCTGCAATTTTCTCCTCTGGAAATTGATTCCTACTCTCACAACATTCAAAGTGTGTTCATCCCAAATTGTATAGCTAAAAGTGCTTCAATGACCCTCTAAAAGGATGCAAATGATCAGCTGTCTGCAAGGAATATAAATCCTTCCATTCCCCACTATCCTGTCAGAGCTGAAGAAGCTTTTTGGATGAGAAGTGAAACGGCCTCAAAGAGAAAATAAGAAAATCCAGTTGCCTCCTGAAAAAGCACCTTTGGGACATATGCAAATGTGAGTAGATAAATAGGTATTACTTTTGTGGGAAGCTGACAGCACTGGCCACTGGAAATGTCTTCGGACAGAGCTAGCTCAATGGCCTTGAAATGGAGATAAGCACAGCCCCCTTATTGTCAGCAATAAAATCCGCAGGGACCCCCTTATACTAAAACCTTCTCCATACCTTTCTGTTCTCAAACACCCTCTTTGCTCGCACCATTTTATATATCATCTTACTTTCCCCACCACCACTTCCAGTATTGTATCAGTGCAGTCCAACCACGAATTTCTCAGTCTTTTGCTTTCTCTCCCATTGATTTACATTTCCTTCAAATATTTGTTTTGTGATTCCATCTTCATTCATTCTCTTTAAATAATCAAAGTCGTTCAATTTACTTTTCCATACTGGATCGTTTGTTTTTATTTTCTTTCCACGTTTATTCTTGACCCAATACACACATGCTCCCAGGATGGTATTCGCTTATCTTCGCTACTGGTTTGCAAATGTGAACATGTGCATGTGCCACCTCTGTGCTTGCACAGAGCCTTCTGCGCATGTGCAGAGCATCAAAAACAGAATGTGATAACATCCAGGCAGGTGGGCGGAGCCTCCCGCAGCCACCGCAACCGGTTTGCCAGAACCAGATAGAACCAGCTGAATACCACCACTGACATGCTCCTTATGTACATTATACCCACTGCTTACATGTTACATATGCATACCCCATGTCCTGTGTTTCCCAGAAAATAAGACCCTGTCTTATATTTTTTTGAACCCCAAAATAAGTGCTTGGACTTATTTTCAGGGATGTCTTATTATTTTGGGGCACATGGAGCAAGAAGGGGCTCCTCTTGCCGTCTTACTTGATTTCCAGCTGTCTCCCTAACTCTAACTAGAGGAAATGGTGGGGACCGGCTGCACATGTGTTTAAATATTTTCAGGGAGGGCTTATTTTTGGGGAGGGCTTATTTTAGCACATGCACTCAAAAGCCCGACTGGGCTTATTATCAGGGGATGTCGTATTTTAGGGGAAACAGGGTACACACACACACATCAGCATTTGCACATTATAAGTGCAGTTTTGCTTCCCTTCATTTACTGTATAACTTACATTTTCCCTACTAACACAACTCTTTCCTCTTTGATACATTACTTTTCAAACTCACGATCTTCATTACCCCATAGTATCTACTTAATATTCTCTGCAAATCATTTGTCTTCTCAGCCAGCAACACAGCATTATCTGCACACAAAGGTACATTCTACATTCACATCCCCAAGCATCTTGCTTCTAACATTACCATATGCATCCTGTTCATTATGCTTGAGGGGACAAGGGAAGATTACTCGGGGTTGTGTTATACCTGGGGGAAGTTCCTTCCGGCTCAGCTTCTGCTCTGTGCATCTGAGAGATATGTTTGTGAAGACTATCCAGGTATTCTCCTGTGAAAATACATGGCAGATTGTCTGGTTCTCCCCATTTCAACCCTTTGGAAGAGAAGCATACGTAGCTAAAAAGATTACGGTTGTCATTCTGAAGATGGAGTTCCCACAGCCAGGGAGCATGCAAACCCCTGAGTAGTTTAAGTAACTGAAACAATCTCACACATTGCCATGTGCTCCGAAAAATAAACAAACCACAAAGGGAAATGCAGTCAGGGATTGAAAGAAACATTCCCAATTTCATCTTCAGGAATCATACCAGGATCTGCCAGACTTGCCCAGGAAAATTATTCCATCCCATAAAATATTCCCAGGCACTGTTACTGCCATAGGAACCATACGGATGAAAGTTGTTTTATTTAAAAAATTGATTTTCTGCTTTAAGAAATGATGGCACATTTCGTAACTGTTTAGATTCACAATGCCTGGTAACATATGGAGACTTGGTATGCAACTTCACAGGACTGTTAATGTAATTTGTCCAAAAATTCTTTTGTGAAAACAAAATCCTTCTGATTGCATTATCTGATATATGCACATTTTCCTTAGTGGACGTTTCAGTGGAAAATCTCTTCTAAGAAACAGTGGACCTTTGATTTAGTGGACTTTAATTTAGCAGACTTCAGTGCAGTGGACAAAGTTTGTCTGTGTATTGTATATTTTTGTACATTCAGATCTGAAAAATTCCACCTGCCATTTTACATATGCTAAAATATATAAAAGACTTATGAAAATGCTCTAGCATATGTATGTATGCATGTACGTACATACATATGTACCACAAATTCTACTGTGGGGAAATGGGAGGGGGGATTGTATAGAGTGAAGAGGATATGTAGTCAAAATAAAATTCTTTCTAGAAAATCAAGGCTGTTTGCCCTGCAGCTGTGCTGAGAAGAATGGGGAGGTATCTTCTGGTCTGGAGGGTACCCGATTGGTTCGTGTGGTGGACATGTAG